TTTTATGCACCGAACGTGGGTGTTTTTACCGACACATCGCAGCATTTCCTTTGAGCCTCTGAACCTGGGTGTTTTTCCCCAACATATTACGACGTTTACCAGTTGCATTTGTGGCACCAAACCTGTGTTTTTCACTGACACCTTCCAGCACTTCCCAGCGGCATTTGAGCTAGTGAATGTGGGTGTTTCTAGACATAGATGGCGGCTTTTCCTAGTTGTTTTAGCCACAGAACCTAGGTGTTTGTCACCAACCTTGGGGTTTTTTCAATCGACACATTACGGCATTTACCAGTGGTGTTTTAGCCACCGATGTGGTCGTTTTTTTTGGAGTACCAGCACAGTGTTTCCAGCAGCATTTAAGCCACCAAACTCGGGTGTTTTTTTACTGACACATTCCGACATTTCCAAGTGCATTGGAGGCCTGAACCTTTTGCTGACCTGTCCCTGCTTTTCTAGCAGCTTTTGGAACACCAGACGTAGGTGTTTTGAGCCAAAACAAGGTCCTTTCCAAACCACAACCAAGTGGTTTTTCTTCCTCAATCTAACCACAGCGTTGCTGAGAATTCTGTGGTTTGCACAAACATACAAAAACATACAATATATGCTGAGTAATTTGTTAACATATATTACAAAAATACTGTGATTTATTTCCTTTTTTCAACTGCAAATTATGTGTCCAAAGAAAAACTTGCTTGCTGTAAATTGTGTCTAGTGGTTTGGCGCCGGACCATCGTGGTGAAGAGAGTTCAGCCAAAAGGCAAAGCTTTTGATTTACTGGTCCATCTACGTCCCAACCCTCACCTATGGTCATGAGCTCTGGGTAGTGACCGAAAGAATGAGATTGCGGATACAAGCGGCTGCAATGAGTTTCCTCTGTGGGATGTCTGGGCTCAGCCTTAGAGATAGGGTGAGGAGCTCGGACATCCGGAGGGAGCTCGGAGTAGAGCCGCTGCTCCTTTGCATCGAAATGGGTCAGTTGAGGTGGTTCGGGTATCTGATCAGGATCCTCCTGGGCGCCACCTGTTAGAGGTGCACGTCCCACTGGTAGGAGGCCCCGGGGCACAATATTGCAGTGCTATGCTGTGTTATTTTTGTCAGCGTTAACTGCTGGACTAATGAAAATAGAGATGCTCTGTCTATTTATTTTATTTCTAAGGCCTAAATGGGTGAAAAATATCCAAAAATGAAGTGGAAAAACTGCCTGAAAATCCCAGTTCGCCTCCTGTTAGACATCTCACTTGCTTTGAATTTTGGTTCACCGGACAAACACAAGACTGAGATTGCGATTCTGATAAAGAAATGATGTAACTGTATGAAAGAATAGTTTGCAGTCACTGTTCTTGTTCATGGGAGCCTTAACTGGCCTGTTTAGTGGGAGAGCTGTGGTTGGACAGGACAGCTTCCAGATGTGAATGTGCACGTGCGGAGTGAAACAGGATCTGGCTTGTGAGACAAAATTCACATGCTGCTGCAGAAAAGGAAGTTTCCTTATTGTCATTTATCATTATCAAAAATATCTACATTCATCATTCGAACCACCTGATTTGTGCAACAGCTGCAGCAGCTGTGTCGCCGCGAGATGAGCCAATAGCAGGTGTCCTCAGTGGGAAGTTGACCACCCGCCCGGCTGGCGTGCCCTGCTCCGGCTCCGTCCCTCAGGATGCAGGCTTAGCTGTAGCTGCTGTGCAGGACAGCGTTCATTCAGCAAGGCCTGTGCATATTAAGTGTTTGTGTGTGTGTGTGTGTGTGTGAGAACATGTGTTTAGGATTACTTCCTGCTAGGGTTGGGTTGGCGAGTGCAGATGTGCAGATGGTTATGAGCTGGTTGTCCTGTTGATAACCTTCCCTGGCAGAGTGTTGGTCGGTGTAATGTGATTCTCTGAGCAGGTGGAGAGGTTTGTAAAAGACTCCTGAGTGAGTTTGCAGACACACTTAACAGCCAAAATATCATTATCCTGCTGAAACCCAAATATGATTGATTTGTAAATGAGCTCTCTATGTCATTCAGAGCGGTAAAATAGCAGTTCTGATTAGCTCTGATCAGATCGACTGACTCAAACTCCACAAACTGCTGCTGAGGAAAAAAGAACTCAGAGTTCCACCTGCGATGCGTTCATGGACCTGCAAAGCCACCGAATTTAGAGAGAGGACACAGAATGATACAAAGACCACATAAATTCTACTTCTGTGAGAAACACTGGCACTGTTCAAGGTGTTAGCACCATTAGCTGCCAGCTGCTGGCTCAGCCACCTCCATGTTGAGAGCCGTGTGCAGACAACCTCAATCAGACTCTAAATCACTGTTTTTCTTCTTTGAGTTAGTCGCTAACGGCTACTAGCTGCTTTTTAAATCTCCCATTAGTGGGTCACACACATAACACGCCTTCAAAACGTCACGCCAGTCATATCCTGCAGGCTCACACAGATACTCACTCCCCTCATTCTGTGATCATACCTTTTAAACAAAACCGCAAGGCAAAATAACGGTACAACATTTCTGTCTTGAACAGGCAATGTAAAGGGGTCGCATTCAGCTCCCTTAAATCAAATGTGACGATGAAAAAATGTTATTCAGTCGTGCATTTTGAAGAATGACTTTATTTTTTCGTCTCACTTAAAGGCTGAAAATGTATGTGCACTAATTTTTGAAAATCAGTGACCTATTTAGATAATTTTTCAGGAAGAAAATGCCGTACACTTTCAGGTTTTACCACTTTTATTTTCCACGTCATTGCTAATTTAATACATTTGGCTTTTCTACTGTTTGTCACTATTTTCTGGCATTTTTTTTGGACCAAAAGATTTTTTAATGGAGAAAATATACAGATATTTGTCATTTCAAAAACACACAGAGTCACAGTTAAGTTTCTAATTCTATTTTTCAGCAAAGTTTTGCAACAAAATTATCTCATTTCCTGTTTTATATTTTACTGGTGCCATAATTAAAGTTTCTACCACCATTATGAATTGTTCTTTTTGCAGTTAAACTCAAGCTGGTCTCTGTCAGAGTTACAGCTTCCCTCTCTTTCTTTGACTGTGCCCTTAACAAGCTGTATGTAATACTTTCACATCATTCATAAACCTTGGGAAACCCCCGCGACCTCTGACCTCTGTGACCCTTTAATGCACACTTTGTGCTTTTTGGTCATGAATCAGGGATGACAGGCTGCCCTCAGGAGATCACTGGGTGGAAGTGTCCGCCGGGCCAAAAGCCTTTCTCCCTTGTGATGCCGATTTATGAGAATGTAATCCATTGGTCTCTTGGGCTGTTTGAATCTATGGGAACTGAAACATCAGCAGTTTTTCCATTAATTTAACCCCACAGTCTCACAGACACTGCGGAATAAAAGTAGGATCTGGAATCCAGCTTTAGTTAGTCAGTCTATGGATGTTTGATTTCAGTAGTATGGAAATCACTGACTGGGTGTTTTCAATTAGACCAGGGGCGTAAATGTGGTTTGATGTTTGTTGTCCCAGAGGAACTTGTCATGGTTGGGTTGTGTCGATGACTCATTTAAAGCTGGAGTAGGCAGTTTAAGTTTTGCGTCATTGGGCAGAAATCCCCTCATTGCCTTTGATTACATTCTAATTCAAGTGGTCTGAGAGAAAACGAGACTCCTGCACCTCCTCTTAGCTCTGTTTTCTAGCTTTAGAAAATCCAGCTTGTGACGAGAGACTTTGGCCGATCAGAGGTTGTTTTCAGAAAGAAGGCGTTCCTATTGGCTGTTCTACGAATGCATACATGTCTCTTAAGTGAAAACCCGATTCAGTGGCCGAGAATTCTGCAGAAGAAACTGCTAATCCAACATCGGCAACAGCTGCCGACACTGCAAAGCAACCCCCAAAAAGGAAGACAAAGTTTCAGAGGTGGGGAGGAAATGTTGCTAACAGTTTAGCCTTCTGCTAACTGGAGCGAAAGGCTAACAGCTGCAGCTTCACGTTTATGTAGCTAACGTTAGCTACAGCCTTGAGTCACACTGTGCGTTCCAACACCCATACTACTATATGCCCGAAATAAATTTAGTATGTTCAAATACATAGTGTGAAGGAATTTTGTTGTATGACAGTTCGGCAAATGGCGTTTTGTCTCATCTCCATGGTAACGGATCTTAAAACAAGGTCAGGGCGTAGTCTTATGAGGATATCCTGAATGTTTGCATACTGCATACAAGAGTACCTACTTTATAAGGGCAACCGCAGTATCAACTAAAAGTAAAAAGTCACCACAGGATCAGCGAACTTTCTGTTGCTGCCATTACACAGGTTAGACCCAGGATGTTTTGCGCTGACCGAATTCGAGCAGCTATAGCCATCGACAGAAGGTCTGTCTCCTGAGCTGCTGCCCGCTCTCCTCTCGGGAAGGAGTCCACAGCGGCACTGGGCACTCGTTGAGTGGTTCACTCGTCTGGTGGGAGGGGCTTAGGACAGAGAGGGAAAAGCTGCAGGAGGACGATGTGTTTTCAAATTCTGCTGTTTTCTTCTTCGCCTACCCCACCTTTAAAGCAGTTTCCCACCTTGTCGAGCTTCCTGCAGATAAAACCCACTGCATCCTAACAAGTTTTAACACATCCTAACCTTTATCTTGTCTTAAAATCTGTAGAAGGATCCTTAAATCAAAAGAAACAACTTCATTTAACATCACAAGAGAGCACAATAATAACTCCTGGAGATCTCCCAAATGTTTCCTCTGAAACACTAAAACATTAACAGTTTTCCTTTCCAAAGAACTTGTGATTTGCTGATCATTTCCGTGCTTCAAACTGACTCCTGTCTCTGGAACTCATGCTGCTTTCAAGTGCACTTTGTCGCTCGTACTATGAACTTTCTGAACACATCTGAGTGCTGTTGTTGTGGATATTGAAAGTCTTTTTTGGTGGCTGTTGAAATCTCTTCAAAAAATACTTTCCTCGGTCATATTGTAGATGTTTAACCATCTTTGCCTCTGTTTCCAGCTGCACTTGATGGCACAGCTCCTGACTCTAAATCTTGATTTCTTGCAGAGGAGAGCGGCGTCTCTTTGCTCCAGCTAATCGGAGACCCTCCACCGAATGAGATCAGCAGGGTCTACGGGCCGAGGGGGGAGACCGCCTACACCTTCACCCCTGCGGTGGTGTCAGGCCAGCCGGCTGTGGCCCATGTCCCCAACCCTTTCCACCGCCATTTCTCCCTCCTCTTCCACGTGAAGCCCTCCACTCCCGCCGCCTCCGTCCTCTTCTCCATCACTGACGGGCACCAGAAGTTCATGTACATCGGCGTGAAGCTGAGCGCAGTGCAGTCCGGCCGCCAGAAGGTGCAGTTCTTCTACACGGAGCCCGACTCCGAGGCTTCGTACGAGGCGGCTAGCTTCGTCGTGCCGAGCATGGTTGACACGTGGAGTCGCTTCTCGCTGTCTGTCTTCGAGGACCAGGTTACTTTCTACCAGGGCTGCGACTCGGAGCCGCAGATGGTGAAGTTTGAGCGGTCGCCGGATCCCATGGAGCTGGACCCGGGGGCGGGGATCTTTGTGGGCCAGGCAGGAGGAGCTGACACCGACAAGTTCCAGGTAATGTTTGAATACCAAATGACAAAGCTGCCCACGACTAAGAGTTTTCCTAGTTGACCAATAGTCGTTTTTTTCTGTCTGCTGTGTAACTTAACGTGCATCTGGTGGACAGTATGATCACTTTCCTTCGCAGACTATACACAATCAATATTTCAGAGATATTTAACACACACTTCACGGAGCGTTTGGAACAAGAAGTCCATTTTCGGGCCGTAAACTCCAGGGTGCCAGCAGAGGAAATGCTCAAGTGCTGAAGAGATGTTTGCTCATCACATCGCTGACAGAAATGAATGAGAAACAGCAGTGAATCCTCCTCCAAATGTCACCCACGGGACCTGGAGAAGTCAGAGTAATACACTGTGTGCTAAAGAGCAGGTGTGTGTGAGTGTGTGACCTCTTCAGCGGGTCAGATCCCCTTTTAATACGTCCCTGTGGCACCTCTCGGCAGGTTTGTGTCTGGGTCGCAGGCAACAGGAAGGGCAGACTTAACCCATCGTCACTCTTGTGAATCTATGAGTTGACCTCCCTTTTACGCTCTGACCTCTGACCTTTCAGCTTGCGGCCGCTCAGTGACCACATGTGACGGTCACATGGCCTCGGGAGTCATGACAAAACTCCTTTTCTGCCACAATCAACCAAAATATTACTTTTTTTTTTTGCTAAAGGATTTAAGATTCGAAGACAGAGTGGCAAACGCAGCTGACACAATATTCTGCTTTGCATGACTCATTTCTCTCGTGTTTTCCATCTCTGTGGAGATTTCAGAGGAAGCTAATATCCCGACTGGTTGCAAACAATGAGTCACGGACGGTGAAATAAAATGCATTCACTGTGTGTGTGTGTTTTTAGGGTGAGATTGCAGATCTGAGGGTGGTGGGAAACCCTCGGGCAGCTGAGCGCCTGTGTGACGACGAGGACGACTCAGACGCTGTGAGTATTTGTTTGATATTCCAGTCAAATTATCTGAACGCTTTTGTGTGTGACGTCGTTCTGTTTTCGTCTCGCAGGCCTCTGGTGACTTTGGCAGCGGCGAAGGCGACAGGAGACAATCAGGACACTCTGGACACACTGTGAAGGTGGGTTATTCGATATGAAAAATGAAATGAATGTAGAGGTGTTGCAGTTATATCAATCGCCTCAGAGCCAGACTCCATTGAGAAAAATGGTGATTTAACATCTCTGAACACGAGAGCTGCCGGGCCACTGCGGCCTTGATTAGTAAGCTGTTGTGTTGTTGCGGTGTTTCAAATGGTCAGTTCGGCTTTGCCGAAATCACACAATAACACAAACCAACTAACTAATCAAGGCGGCGGTGGACCAGCAGCTCCTCTGTTCCCCAAGCTAAAATTGCTGTTTTTGTCAATGGAGTCTGGTGGTTTTGACGAGAGCATAGATGGGGGACTAAAGCCTGTTCTGCTCCTTGCAGCCAAGCCATATGTACTGTGTCTCGTCACGTCACATCCCCCCCCCCCGTGTGAAATTGACAAATAACTCTCGGCCAAAAAACTCAGCAAAGATGGCTGCAGGTTAACCTGCGCTTGACCCACATGTGCGCGGTTTGAGTGACGTTAAACACGGCCCTGTGATGACAGCCGCCTCTACGCTCTTCACAGCCACTGGACAAGAGCCACATTTTCGGAGGGCACTCGTCCTGCAGTGGTTTGACTTTTTAAACCCTTGAACTCGAGTAAATTGATGCGATGTCTTTACTTAAACCATGTTCCAAGAATATGATCGACTGCTGATCGACTGATGATGGTGTTTGTGTTTCTAAATACTGTGTCAGAGTCTCAAGAATCAAACTGATGGATTAAGTGGATGAAATGCTGAATATTAGCGGCGTCTGTGCAGAAATACCATCCCATAACGGGGTGTTAAATCTGCAGATATATGAATTATTGTGTTGTTTTCCAGACCACACCTGCCTCCTTCCGGCCAGTCCCTGAACCCCCTCTGATTCCCTCACATGGAACCACCGTCAAAGAAACAGGTAAAAGCTCAGTGGAATCACTCACGACGGCGAATCCTCAGTGTGTTGCTGCCAAGATGAGCGTCACACTGCGGAAAAGTGCAATGGAAGTTTTTAATCATGCGGCAGCCGCTGCCAACAACACGTCCTGTCGAATCACTGTGCTTTTATCTTGAAATATGTGCACAAGGATGCCTGTCTGGGCCTGAGAGCGTGGGGGGGGGGATTTGCTGCAGGGTTTCAGCATGTGGGTGAGATTTGAAACTCTGTAGCTCCCCCCGGTGGACAGTTAAAGAAGTGACGCACGTTTGGTTTAATGTTGAGCTTTGTGAGGAGAAAGTTTTGGCTTTAAAATTGCCTTTAATGACCCTTATAAGAAGATAAAGACATGACAGTACCCCAGAGGTTTCTACTTCTATCACCACGCACAACAACTTCACACAGACATTCCCCGCTCTGCATGCCGACACTTGCAGCCTTTAAAGTCGTGTTTGTGTTGACTTTAGATATCAGGTTCCCGCAGCCGTCAGTGGACATCAGCCGACACGGATCACCAGGCCCAAGAGGTGGGTCGCTGGGTGCGAAAGGATTGGGTCGCGCCTTGCAGAGGAAGTGCAGATTGAGATTAGGATTACGTCCTAATCAACATATAGAATGATCGCGGGGCGTCTCCAGCTGCTGTGGTGCCTCATTACGCTGGAGCTGTGAGCATGTTGGTGGAGGGTGACATGCTGTGCCTTTGCAATCTGTGCTTGATGCAAATGAGTTCCTCAGTGCAGGCAGTGAACTTCACTGAAGACAGTCTTATGAGGAGAGGGGAGACTTATGAGTTATGCAGCAGTGCCCTCTGCAGGACAGAACAGATGACTACACTGCTTGCACTGACCTGAATGTGTCCACTAGGTGGTGCTAGAGCTTTGTTTCAGTGCAGACCTGTTTGGGCTTTGCTGCTTTTTATGTGCTTTCTTATTGTAATTGTTGATGTGTGACTCTTCTTTTGCATCTTGGTGGTGGTGTTGATGACTTTGATCATCACTGGATCAGTGTGACCTGATTTATGCACAGTCAGAGTAAATATGATGCTTCAGGAGCGTCTTCCAGCCGTGGGACATTTATTACAAGTCATATCCCTCTCTATCCTCTGTTCCTGGTCTACTCTGACATTTGATAACTAAGAAACCTAGGAGATAAAAAAGGTGCTTGAATTCAGGTTTTTTTTTTTTTTAAATGTATTTCTTCCTGTAAGAAAGAAAAAAAAAGAGATTAAATTTAGTATTTTTTTCATGTAAGATTTAGGACAAAAATGCCACAAAATCATTTTTAAGTTTCATTTAAGTTTCTTAAATTCAGTATTTCTTAAAAAAAACCAACATATTTCTTCCTTTAAAAAAAAGATGATTCAATTTAGTATATTTTTTCTTTTAAGATTTATTTTTTTTAATTTATCATATTTGAAAAAAAGCGTAAATTCAGTAATTTTTCTTTTTTTTCCTTTCTTTCTTTTTTTCTCTTTTTTCATACATCATTTTTTTGCTTTTAAGATTAGAGACAAAAATGCCCCCAAAAAAGATGCTTAAGTGTTTTAAATTCAGTATTTTTTTTTTCTTGTAAAAGAAAACAAAAGATAATTAAATTAAGTATCACTTTTTTTCTTTTAAGATTTAAGACAAAAATGCCTTTTTTTAAAAAAGGCTTAAATTCAGTATTTTTTTCTTCTTGTAAAGGAAAACAATAAAACAATTAATTAAGGATCACTTTTTTCTTTTAAGATTTGAGACAAAAATGCCAACAAATAAAATCTTGAAAAAGAAAGCGACACTTAAATTAAGCATTGTAAATTCAGCGTCTTTTTTTTTACCCTTTATTTTCTTCTTTTTAATGGTAAAATGATGCTTATATTTAGTATTAAGCCTTATTGTTATTTTTTAATTATTAGAAGTTATAAATAGCCTCACACAAAAATAAAATTTAAGATAAAAACATACAGTGCATGTCATATTTTACAATAAAGATGACTTTTATTTTGTTGTTTTATGTGTTTTGTTTCTTACATTGTATTTTTGTTCAGCCAACTTAATTTCTATCTAAAAGCTCATATAATGATATACAATTTCAAGTGTGTACAGTTTCAATATTTGTAATCTTGTACAATTATTTTTTTAAGTTTTATTTCAGTATTTTTTACTTGTACTAATGTTACGTGGTACGACGTGTCTGAATTCAGGATGTCATAAAAAAAAATTAAATTCTAATTAGCGAATATCCTTTGAAGTTCCAAACTTGTGAATTAGTGAAATATTTATAAAATTATTAGTGTGTTTAAATATTATTTTTGCTTCAGGTGCATAAGACGTCTGGTCAGTGTGTTTTTGTTTTGAGCATGTCTTTGCAAATGGAGCTGGGTTCCGTCCTCTGCAGGATGTTCTGATGCTCGGATATAAAATTATGTTCTTCCTTTAACGTACTTTCTGTGACACCTCGTCCAGGTCCCGGCGGTGCGAAAGGGGAGAAAGGTGACAGAGGAGTGAAAGGATCGAAGGGGGACATCGGCCCTGCAGGACCGAAGGGAGACTCAGGCTCCAGCTCGGGCTCCTCTGGCTCCTCCTCTCAGGGCGGAGAGCGAGGACAGAAGGTAGAAACATCACTCTGTGTGTCTGTGTGCGTCTGTAACTGTGTCATCAGCTGCATTAAAAATACTTAACGTTCGTCTTTGTTCTTTATTGCAGGGAGAAAAAGGTGCAAAGGTGAGTTCACCCCAATCAGCCTGATGGGGGCGCTATAGGTAAAGGTCAACTTTGAACAGTTGTAACTCCGACACGGCAAGTCGGATTGAAAAATACTTTAAAAAAGATTATCTTATGTACAGTATCTTTTTTTTTCTGTTGAAAGACAAAAAGATGATTAAATAAGCATTTTTTTTTCTTTAAAAATTTGAGACAAAAAAAAAGAAATACACTAAAAAAGATGATCTTAAATTCAGTATTTTTTTCTTCTTTCAAAAGTAAAAAATAAATGATTAAATAAGTATCTTTTTTCTTTAAAGATCTGAGACAAAAATACAAAAAATACTTTAAAAAAGATTATCTTAAATTCAGTATTTTTTATTTTTATTTTAAAAAACAAATAGATGATTAAATAAGTATATTTTTTCTTTAAAGTTTTGAGACAAAAAACAAAAAAAATACTTTAAAAAAGATTGTCTTGATTGTTCTTTCAAAAGTAAAAAATAGATGATTAAATAAGCATATTGTTTCTTTAAGATTTGAGACAAATGCAAAAAAAAACCCTTTAAATAAAGATTATCTTAAATTCAGTATTTTTTTCTTTTAAAAGTAAAAAATAGATGATTAAATAAGCGTATTGTTTCTTTAAGATTTGAGACAAATGCAAAAAAAACCCCTTTAAATAAAGATTATCTTAAATTCAATATTTTTTTCTTTTATTTTCTTTAAAAAAAAAGATTAAATTATAAGATGTAAGACAAAAATTAAATTAAGTATCTTAAATTCTTTATCTTTTTTCTTTTAAAAGAAAAAGATTTAATTAAGTATTTTTGTAAGACTATATTTTACACCATTTTGAATTTTCTGATCCATACATTTTTGACATTTCCTTCTAAACCGTTGGTCCGATTTCTACCAAATTTTCTGTGGATCACAACTCGACCATATCACAAGTTATCACAAGTTAACAGAAGCTTGTTGATATGTCATTGGGTTTAAAATACTGACCAATGAACTTCAAAAGGGGCTTGACCCAGCACATAAATAGACATAACTCCATAACTGTTGGGCTAATCATCATGAAACTTGCAGGGTATGTATAAATGCGTATGTGAAACCTACCCTGAAAGTTTCTTGCAAAATGACCACTAGGGGGAGCTAGAAATTCAAAAGAAATGGGCGAGGCACAACACAAATTAGACTATAAAGTGTGAAAAAATATTTTGAAATCGCTCAACAGGGGGCGCCACTAGTTCTTAACAAGTGCATTGACCTGGTGCTAAATTTGTCCAAACATCACACTTTCATTCCGTCTCCTCAGGGTAACTCTGGCTTCGGATACTCCGGCAATAAAGGGGAGCGTGGGCCTCCGGGCCCTCCAGGGCCTCCAGGGCCTGCCGGACCTGCAGCCGAGGTGGTTCGACTCGGGGACGGCTCTGTTGTGCAGCAGGTGTCTGGACCGCCTGGACCACCGGGACCACCAGGGGCAGAGGGACCCGCAGGACCCCGAGGAGGAGATGGAGAGCCTGTGAGTACAGGGAGGCTCGATTTACACACGTGTTAGGTGTTTTATTACGATGAACTTCACCTCAACAATTGTTCTTTATCCTTCAGGGTGATCCAGGAGAGGATGGAAAAGCTGTGAGTCTCTTTGTATTTAACAGAGATGCTTCTGTAAAAACATAATTATATGGACATTTCTAGATGATAAAGAAATAGCAGTGTAATTTAGGTATGTTGGTTTTGTTTTCAGGGTCCCGCCGGGCCACGAGGTGTCCCAGGAACTCCAGGAACTGCTGGTGCCAAAGGCGAAAAGGTTGGAAAATAAGATGAGCTATGTTGTTTCCTGAACTAGAAATATGACAACATATATGAGACATTGTAAATTAAATAATAATAATAAGCATAATAAATAGAGCTGACAGACGAGGGGAAAAACTCAAAAATTTGTGATTAATAAAACTCAAAATTTTCAAGATTAAAGTTGCGCTTTGACGAGATAAAAACTCTGATATTCTCTAAGATTAATGTTGAAAATTTACAAGAACAAACCTCCAAATTTTGTGACCAATAACTGAGATTAAATATGTAAATTTACGAGAAAAAAAATGTGGTTAAAGTCACAAAATTACAAGAAAAAAAGCTTAAAAAGGGTTTTTTAATCATGAATTTGTGACTTTAATGTAGGAAAATTTCTGCATTCCAGGGCGAGCGTGGAGAGGGTCAGCCAGGACCCAGAGGCCCCCCGGGTCTCCCAGGACCTCCTGGACCTGGCACTGGAGACCATCCGGTACGTCCTCACGTCAAACACCCGTCTCTTTCACAGTTATTGTCTCCAGACTTGTCACTGTATCTTCATCACGTTTCCACAGACATTTGTGGACATGGAGGGCTCAGGATTCCCAGACTTGGAGAAACTGCGGGTATGCTGATAAGCGTTAAATGATGAACAGGGTTTTGAACTTTTCGCACACCGTGATGACTTGATGATTTCGTTCATCAGGGGTTCCGTGGTCCTCCAGGCCCGCCAGGCCCTCCTGGCCCTCCTGGGCTCCCTGGGACTTCAGTGGCGCTGGGGCCAAACGGTCCAGTAGCTTTCGGACCTCCTGGACCACCTGGACAGGATGGAGCTCCCGGTCTACCTGTGAGTCGTGCGATTTAATTTTCATTGTACAATGTAGACATTAATAAATTGGTTGTCATAAAAAGATACTTGCAGGCTAAGATTATTCTGTATTACCTTAAAATTTGTCAGGACTGATTATTGTGTGTTTCCTGTGTGTTGTTTCAGGGCCCTCCTGGTCCCCCTGGTAGACCCGGTCAACCAGGAATCGGAGGCGTGAAGGTGAGAATGAACAGACTGACGTAAAACGCTGAATATTTCTCACAGATAACAAATTAAACGTGTTGTATACCCACAGTAAAGGGGCGCACAGGGCACTTGTCATTTCAAGTCTCAAATGTCCTTGCACCCCTCTGTGCGCCCATGGATGTGGAGGCGCTTTGATGGTATACGGCCATTTTGAGGCAGCAGACAGCAGTTGAACCATTGACCAACAAAAACCTGGTGTTAAGTCAGAATGACGCTGTATTTTTTCTGCTATTTAATGGAGCAGTGTGTAGGATTTAGCGGCATCTAGTGGTGAGGAATGCAGATTGCAACCAGCTGAAACTTGTCCCGGTTAGAATTCCTTCAGTGTCGCTACTAGAGAGGCAAAAGACGTGATGTAACTTTGATTGTCTTTGACATTTCGTTTCCCTGCAGGGTGACTCCGGTGAGCTCGGTCTTCCAGGTGCGGCCGGAGAGAAGGTGAGTTAAGTCAATTTTTTTTTTTGTCCTTAAAAATTAAAGTTTGCTCCTGATTTTGAACCAAACATGAGACATTTGTGGCGGGTGCATCCATGTCTGTCCTCCGTGTTTGTCGCCTTCCTCTAGCAAAGCTCGCAAGACTCCAACTTTTTCACGGGCCTGTTTTCTTACTTTGCTCCATCCTCTACGGTGTGTAGTGGGTCACAGGTACTGGGGGGGTGTCTCTGCTCTGGTGATTTACTCCCTCTTTAAACCAATTTCTATTTCATCGACTAACATGTTTTTTAACCAGATGTCGCCGTGAATGATTCCAGTTTCTTACGACCTGAACCACATCCTTCACATTATATTTCCTTAACCCTACAATGGTGTCAGTCAGTCAAACTTTCATACAGGTCAGTGCAGTTCAAAGTGCTGCAGTAATAAGATAGAATAAGACGAGACGTAAAAACAATCTAACAATTTGAGACCACCAAACACAAGACAATAAAAATAATAAAAATGCAATAAAACGGATTTAAAAGCTACGACAGTGATATTAATAAAACGGAGTAACATAAAACTAGATTAAAGAACTAGATAAAAAAAACAAGAATAAAAAATGACAATAATTGCAATAATATAGTTTTAAAAGATTTAAAAATTTCTAATCAGTAATATAAAAAAGAAAAATAAATCAGAAATAACATAAAATAAAAAATAAGTAAAATAAATTAATTTTAAAATTATAAAATAAAAATAGAATTTTTTTTTAGAAACCAAATAAACCTTACTTAGTAATAATAATAATAATAATAATAATCATTATAACATTGTTAAATAAAAGCTAGACTAAACAATACCATAAAATAGATTAAAATTAACACAATAAAATATAATTAAATAGATTTAAAAGCTGTAATAATATTAATAATAAGAATAAGAACAAGAATAATAAAATAGTCCAACAAAAACTAGGCTTAAAACTAGATAAAATAGATTAAAATTAATACAATAAAATAGTAATAATGTAATAATAATAATAATAATAATAATAATAATAATAATAATAATGATGAAAAAGCTAATTAAAAGCATCACTAAATAAAATAGACAAAAAAAAATCAATAAGTGGAATAAAATATATATAATGATGTTCATAATAATAAAATAACAGGCAAATAAAACTAAAATAAAATTACAACAAAAATAAAAAACAAATAAGTGACTAAAATAATTTAAATAATGTCCAAAAAACCTTTCTTAATCAAAAGCCTCGCAGAATATGAAGGATTCAAATTTACATTTAAAGATTTCAACAGCTGTTCTCAGATCCTCAGACTGCTTCAGCATCTTGGAGCAGGATCACAGTGATTTCTAACAAAGCATTTAGTCTTTAGGCACCTGGTTTGAACTACATTCTTTCACTTCTCCAAGTATGACTTCTTACTGCATCTGTTTTTTAAGACTTCTGCTGAACCTCCATCTTTCTTGCTCTGCACATGTCTCTTGCACGTCGTCTTTTTGTCTTCCTATTCTGTCGCTCTTGCATCAAATGTAAATTCGTAATCTGCTGTCCCACCTCAGGGTGCTCAGGGTGACCTCGGACTGCCAGGTACACCAGGACAGACTGGGCTGGCAGGGCTTCCAGGTCCAATGGGACCAGTTGGACCTCCAGGACCTCCTGGGCCGCCGGGGCCACCGTACCGTGCTGTGAGTAGAAGTCAATCAATCAGCCCAAAGACCAGTGTAGGAGTCCAGAATCTTTAACTGGTCCTACTGTAATTAATCCATATAATTACAGTAGGAGTTTGGCATTTTGGCGGTCGCCATCTTGGATTTTTGGAGCCAGAAATGACCATCTGGACAGTTGGACACGAGGGTGGAGCTTACCCCAATGCTGGCTGCTAGCATCATTAGCTCGATGCATTTACAGCTATGGTTAACTTTGATAAAGCTATTGCTAATTTTTGCGAGTGAGATTTTTGTGTCTTTAAAAAGGCGATTGGAGGTCTTTGAGGACTGATTCACTCTTGGAGCCAGCCTCAAGTGGCCATTAGAGGAACTGCAGTTTTTGGCACTTCAAACTCAGCTTCATTTTTCAGCCTCTGAGGTTGCTGCTGGGGACTGATGCATAAAAACGGTATTACTACAACCCTCTACTCCTCTCTCACAGGGTGACCTGGATGGATATGAGGGCAACAATGGCTACTCTGGTCTTCCTGGCCCACCTGGTCCACAGGTACCCAATCACCCTTACGTAAACTCTTCTCCTTACAGTCGATGCCTTGCCTCACGTCTCTGTGTTTTCTGTCTTTCAGGGTCCACCTGGTATTCCAGGTCTGCCTGTAAGTACTACAGAGTCTGTATGGATATATTTTTACCACTCCATTCCTGACTGTGAGTATCATTAATGTTTTATTATGATTTCCAGGGTCGGTCAGGTCTGCCGGGTACTCACGGAGACAAAGGAGCAGAGGGACCAAGAGGACCTCCTGGGATGCCAGGTCTGGACGGGTTCACAGGACAGCCGGTAGGAGGCCAGATGATCAATGGGATTTGTTGCTTTTCTATACTATATAACATGAAAATAATACACAACGACTGTAGAGGAAACAATTACACGTATTGCAGTTGTACACTTGCTTGTTTCCATGGCGCTAGTAACTGATTGTGTTCATTTTTTAGGGTGAAAAAGGAGACAGAGGAGAGAAAGGAGAGATGGTGAGTCACGTGCAAAATATATAAGATGTGCACTTTGTGTGTGTGCATATATATTTTCGTTTTAAAGCCGCTTCTTATGCAACACTATTTGTAATGTGTTGTGAAATATATGAAGTTATAAACATGTAAATGTAATATATATGCAGCATATTGTACTTTTCAGTTATTTTACGAACTTTTATTTCTATGGAATGCCATTAACATCAATATTAGATTAACACAAATAAATATGGCTATCAAGTTAATAAATGAGCCTATGAAATAAATAAATATGTGTAGAAAAACCAATAGTGAAATAATATAATAATAATATATAAATACATGCAAATATAAAAATATAAATAAGTCAGTATAGTTCAATAAATAATTAGGTTTTTATATAAAAGGGACATTTTTCAAAGGACTGCTTTCTATATTCATATTTACATTTATTTGTATATTTATTACCTATTTTTTAATTTAGGGATTTAAGTCATAGGCATTTTTATCTATTTATTTAATAATTCCATATTTGTTTATTGCAGGGGACTTTTATGTCATAATTTCTTACATTTACTTCTTAATATTTATTGCCTATTTTTTATTTGAGAATTTATTTCATTGTCTTTTTTTTTCATTTGTGTATTTATTAAATAATTCCTTTCCTTTTTTATTTCAGGAGACTTTTATTTCACAATTTTGCTCATGCATATATATTTATATTTATTTATATATTAACTGCCTCCCTTATTTTGTCTCCCTTTATTTTTTTAATTGTATAGCCATTTTTATTTATCATTTTTTTAGCCATTATTTTCATAATTCCATATTTGTTTATTTTAGGGGACTTTTATTTCATAATTTCACTCATTCACAATTTTTATTTTTTTATATATTAATTAATTATTTTCACTGTTGTTTTATTTCAGTGGACTTTTATTTCATAATTTTGCTCATGTAGATGTACTTATTTATATATTTACTGCCTCCCTTATTTTTTCTCCCTTTATTTTTTTAATTGTATAGCCATTTTTAATTATTTATGTATTTTTTCATAATTTCATATTTGTTTATTTCAGGGAACTCATTAGTTTATTTACTTTTTTAATATTTATTGCCTGTTTTTTATTTGAGAATTTATCTCACAGGCATTTTTTATTTATTTATGTATTTATTTAATTATTCCACTTTTTTTTATTTCAAGGGACCTTTTTTAATTCACAATTTTGCTCATGTGTATATATATTATATTTATTTATATAGTTACTGCCTCCCTTATTTTTTTCTCTTTTTTTTAATTTTATAACCATTTTTATTTATTTATTTATTTAATAAATAATTTTTCACCTTGGAAATAGCAGTCGAGTTACTCTGTGATTCAGGGCTTTGAGCTAAATGCTAACATTAGCATGCCAACATGCCTTCAATGACTTATCTTATCGTACTGGTGCTTAGCAGGTTTAATTACCATCTTCACCTTTGTCATTGAGCATGTTAGCATGCTAGCATTTGCTAATTAGCACGGGAAATTGCTCATAAGCCAAATTACTTTTAATTTTCTGAATGTATGTCAAAATATAATATGTCTTCTTATGATGATTTTATGTCCATTTGTATGGCAGGGTCCTCCAGGGCGAGATGGCGGGCTACCTGGCCCTCCAGGGCCTCCCGGACCTCCAGGACAAGTCATCCAAACCAGCGATGTGAGTCAGAGGTCCAGCTGTCAACATGGAGACTGAATATGTAAAACTAATGTAGCTTGCACATGTCAGCCTGCCATTTAATCACTCAATCACTGCATCAGATTGCATCTTGATTTACTGATATGCACTAACTGCCACTGCCTGCTTTGTCCACCTGCACACTAACTGACCTAACTTTGTCTCGCTGTAGTATAATGACGTATATTGGAACGAAGGGTGGCAGGTAAGTGCTCCCCCCCACTGACCTCACCATAAACCTCACTAAACTAAACTTATTTTAACACGTTTACACAGGATTTGTTCTTTTTCTTCACGTGTTTTCACTCTCTCTTCTTCAGGGAGGACATGGTGTCCCGGGCCGAGCAGGATTCCCAGTATGTATATCATTATTCATATCACACAGTTTAGAAAAGTCTAGTCAATATGGGAAAATGGACAGAAGTCAATGAGTAATGTGTTTTCAATCAGGGGCCCTCAGGACCAAAAGGAGAAAAAGGATCCCCCGGTCCTCCAGGATACGCACCTAAAGTAAGATAAGTTGCATTTTTAATGAATTAATTTAGCATTTCACAGAGTTAAAGACGTAAGTTGAATCAAGTTTTGTGCAGCATTGTGCACCACAAAGACAGATTTGTTTTGTAATTGTTTTTAATAAGAATTAAATTATTTGCTCGCTGTTTTTGCGTGGCTACAAGAAGATGACGCTGAAGTTTGTTTGCTGTTTAAGATGTCTCCTTGTGTTCCAGTCGCTGTTTGACTTAAACCTGTGGTTTTGTTCAGGGGCAGAAAGGAGAGCCTGGTATCATCATGGGACCCGATGGGAGACCTCAGTACCTCGGCGGTCTGGCAGGACGGCCGGTAAAAACCTTTGAGTCACCAGACAACGAGCTACGAGGATGCACACACACTGTTTTAGCATCACAGCTAGGGATGCACAGTAATATCGGCACGTCATCGGTATCAGCCGATAGTGGCTTTAGAATAAAATATCAGATATGGAATTTTCCCTAGCTAACAAAAGCGGGGACTAATTCATCTCGTCACGTGCCTAGCTTTAGTGGATCATAACATATCGGGTGTGGAATTAATCTGCAGATGCTCCAGTTTAAAATCAGAACAGATGTTTCTCTGGACGTCAGTTTTTGAGCCGTGATGAAGCCCAAAATGTGTCGTCAAAGCTTGTTGTATAGCTAAGAAGATTTCCAGAAAACTTGAGCATACAGTTGTACATGTGCCTACAAAATATTAGGCTGATTGGTCTAGTAGTTTGCCACATTAGCTCCAGATAGACAGACACACAAACACGTGATTTTCCTGCTTATATCATTTATGATCCAGGAATTTAAGCATCTAAATACATAAATAATTGCCTGAAATGTTTCTATTCACAGGGTGACAGTGGACCCCCCGGCCCTGTGGGACCTCCAGTGCGTACTGTATTTTATTGACCACATTTTGAGAGCCTTGCTGCTATTACGCACATTAAGCTAATAAACCTGTATGAACATTTTAATCTCTAGGGTCCACATGGTCCTGCAGGCCAGAAGGGAGAGATTGGGTTCCCAGGTAGACCGGTGAGTAGATTTCGTATCGAGTCAGTTTAAAAATGGTACAAATACAAGTCCAAGTGTTAATGTTGTTATATTTTAGGGTCGGCCGGGGCTGAACGGCGCCAGAGGAGAGAAGGGAGACTCAGGAGGCTTGGGAGCTGGATCTGCTTACCCTGTGAGCACCACAGATTTCGTCTTATTTAAAAGTCACCGCTGAAACTGAAGCCATTAAAGCACAGTAATCAATATTTGTTGTGTCCCAGGGTCCTCCAGGTCCACCGGGCCCCCCCGGACCTCCTGGACCGTCAATTCCCTACGACAGAATCAGAGTGAGTCCAGACATGAAACATGTAGTGTTGTGTTTCCTGTTCATTTAGGAAGTCGGGATGAGCCATGATTGATTCATCTTTATTTAGTGGTTTATGTTAAATGTTAATAAATGTTCAAATGTATAAATAGCTGGGTACTTTATGGTTATTTTATCACAAACAACATGGATAATGAGAGTTTAATTCAAGTGTCTGTGTGGGGGATTTTAAGAAATGTTGCTACTTACTGTATGGGTGTGAATTATAATCTGTGTTTTTATTTCAGTCATTTGAGGATTACGCCAGATACTTCCCAGGTAAATTCACCTCCTGTCTCAAGTGCCGTGAGTGAAAGAAAAGTTTTAAGCAGTAGTTTGACAGTTATTGCTTTCTTACTGAGAGTTAGATTGGAAGATTGATGCCACTCTCATGTATGATGAATATGAAGCAGCTGGTTAGCTTAGCTTAGCATAAAGACTGTAAGCAAGGGGAAACAGCTAGCCTGGCTCTGTCTTAACGTATGAGAGTGGTATCAATCTTCTGTTCATTCCCTCATAAAGAAAGCATGATGCATATCTCCAAAGATGTCACACTATTCCTTTGAATGTTTCAACCATTTCCCCTCTGGATAATACATTTTTTTTTCTTATCTTGTCTTGGAGAAGGTAACTTGGGTATTTTTAAACCTGGACCCTATTTTCCCATTTTTTTGTATCCCATTAACTAATGGAAATTGGTCCAGGATTCCTTCAAGCCTGCTGGTGTTTAACTTGACATGTTGTTGCTGTTCTTGTTTATAGCTGTTAAAGGAGAGAAAGGCGATCCAGGCCCACCAGGGACAGTTGATATTTCAGGTAGCACCACTTCGTCTGTGCACATATGTGTCAAAATGTTTACGATTTCAGCGTGAAGACAGATTTAAATTCAGATATTTTGCTTCCGATCCAGGTGCCGGGCCAAACGTTGATATTTACACTTTAAGAGTAAGTCTCGACTCAGTAGATTATGGTTAAACTATTAGCATCAGTGCGACTCTTCCTTTATGTATCTTTACTAATTTTTTTTAGAATGAGTTGAAAGGTGAAAGAGGCGATGCGGGCCTTAAGGGAGAGAAAGGAGAACCAGGTGGAGGATATTATGACCCCCGCTATGGAGGCAGCGGCGTCGGAGCCCCGGGAGCGCCTGGACCTCCTGTAAGATCACATTAAGCTTCACAAAGTCAGTTTATAGTCAAATACGTCACAATCAAAAGATAAAATCAAACACCTTTCTGTCTTTGTCCCACCAGGGTCCTAGAGGCGACTCAATCATCGGCCCACCAGGCCCTCAGGGGCCACCAGGTCCACCAGGAAGAGGCTACGATGGGCAACCTGGACCACCAGGGCCGCCCGGACCTCCAGGAGGATCCTTTTCTGGTGCTAACAGGGGCACACAGAGTGAGTATAACCACACACACACCCAGATGTTCACAATTACATCTGTATTCAGTCATGTGACCCCCTCACAACCTCTTTGGGTTATAGCTATCAATATTCCTGGACCACCGGGACCACCGGGACCACCTGGACCTCCTGGACAACCTGGACACTCCTCAGGGGTGCGAGAACTTGTTTTTTTATTTCCTTATAATCCAACAGTACATCATGAAATACAAATGCCACAGCTTGGTTCACTTTAAGAGTGTTTCTTTGTTTGCAGGTGACAGTGTTGAGGTCGTATGACACCATGACAGCCACCGCTAGACGACAGCCTGAGGGCTCTCTGGTTTACATCATAGACCAAACTGATCTCTACTTACGGGTCAGAGATGGAGTTCGTCAAGTTCAGGTAAATTATTCACCGATGTCATAGGAGTAGACGATATATAACAATACTTTAACTTTGTTATAAAAAAACTTGATTTTATAACCCAGCCCTATAAGTCAGCAGGAGAGGCATAGAAATAGTTCCCATGTGTAATCGTGCATGTGTGTGCTTTATTTTCACAGCTCGGGAACTACATTGCTTTGCCCCCTGAGGATGTGAGTTTAATCTTCCTTTGTTCCCTCATCTTCAGAACATATATTGAGCCCTGTTTAAAACATATCATGCACATTATTTTAAGGGTAACGAGGTTGCAGCTGTGGAGCCCCCGCCAGTTGTCCCCTACTCCCCAGACCACCCCTCGCACGTCGACACTTCCTCACACGACTCCCAGAGGCCACCTGAGAGTCCGGTTCACCCCGGCTCTGAACATCACACACACCTAGACCACCACCATACAACACACACTGACCCTCGCTACCCATCGAACCCTGATCCTCGATACCCAACCCACTATGATCCCAGATACCACCCTGATACACGATACCAGCCGGATCCTCGGTACCCAGCACCCACAGATCCACGCTTTCCAAGTTACTCAGACCGTTTAAATCAACCAGACGGTAGGACTACTGTACATTCACCCCACCAGCGCCCTGGGTATTCGGACACTCGCTACCCAGTCACTCCTCAGCGACGACCACCTCCTCCTGTACCCCAGACTCCAGTCCACCATCATACCTCAGGTCCAGGGGTAAGAGAGTCTCACATCTCTGCTCTATGTTTTACCGTGAGATTAGATATTACCACTGACCATGTTGGTGGCTCCGCAGCTCCACCTCATGGCCCTGAACAGCCCTCAGACTGGCGCGATGCGGGGCATCCGCGGTGCAGACTTCATGTGCTTCACTCAGGCTCAGGCCATCGGGATGAAGGGAACTTTCCGAGCCTTCCTGTCCGCCAGACTCCAGGATCTCCACAGCATCGTCCGCAAGGTCGACAGGGACCGTTTGCCAATAGTCAACCTGAAGGTAGCCAACAGAAGTTCTTCGTCCATTTAAAGTTCGATACCACTCTCATGTTTGTACAGTACATATGAAGGTATAGCAAGCAGCCGGTTAGCTTAGCATAAAGCTTAGCATAAAGACTGGAAAAGGGGGGGAAACTGCTGCATTAGGTTTTCAGGGTTGTCCATCTGTCTCATTCTTGTGAACGTGATAATCACCTTGAGAGAATTTCTTCAAATTTGGCACAAACGTCTGATTGGAGGCAAGGATGAACTGACATTACATTGGCCAAAAGTCAAGGTCATTGTGACCTGGTCTTCCTCATTCTCATGAAAGCCACATCTCAAGAACACCTTGAGGGAATGTCCTCAAATTTGGCACAAACGTCTGATTGGAGTCAAGGTTGAACTGATTAGATTGCAGTGGTCAAAAGTCAAGGTCATTGTGACCTGGTCTTCCTCATTCTCATGAAAGCCACATCTCAAGAACACCTTGAAAGAATGTCTTCAAATTTGGCACAAACATCTGATTGGAGTCAAGATTGAACTGATTAGATTGCAGTGGTCAAAAGTCAAGGTCATTGTGACCTGGTCTTTCTCATTCTTGTGAAAGCCGTATCTAAACAACACCTTGAAGAAATGTCTTCAAATTTGGCACAAACGTCTAATTGGAGTCAAGGATGAACTGACATTACATTGGTCAAAAGTCAAGGTCATTGTGACCTGGTCTTTCTCATTCTCATGAAAGCCACATCTCAAGAACACCTTGAAAGAATGTCTTCAAATTTGGCACAAACGTCTGATTGGAGTCAAGGTTGAACTGATTAGATTGCAGTGGTCAAAAGTCAAGGTCATTGTGACCTGGTCTTTCTCATTCTCATGAAAGCCACATCTCAAGAACACCTTGAAAGAATGTCTTCAAATTTGGCACAAACGTCTGATTGGAGTCAAGGTTGAACTGATTAGATTGCAGTGGTCAAAAGTCAAGGTCATTGTGACCTGGTCTTCCTCATTCTCATGAAAGCCACATCTCAAGAACACCTTGAAAGAATGTCTTCAAATTTGGCACAAACATCTGATTGGAGTCAAGGTTGAACTGATTAGATTGCAGTGGTCAAAAGTCAAGGTCATTGTGACCTGGTCTTTCTCATTCTTGTGAAAGCCATATCTCAAAAACACCTTGAGGGAATTTCTTCAAATTTGGCACAAACGTCCACTTAGATCCAAAGATATACTAATCAGAATTTGGCAGTCAAAGGTCACTGTGATCCCACAACACTCAAAATTAATATGCTAATTGTGACGCAATTTCACACAGATGTAGGATAAAATGATTAAGTGGTATTTACAGCTGTGAAATTAACAAAGCTGGTGTGTTTACAAGTCATCAGTTTAGCTTAGATGGCATGGTTTGTGCCTTTTATTTAGATTTGTGGGTTAATTGCATAACCAGTCCTCACCAGTTTTGCACTGATGGTGTTGTCTCATCTTTGTCAGGATGAGGTTCTGTTTGACAGCTGGGACGCCATCTTCAACAATGGCAGAATAAAGGACAACGTGCCAATCTACTCCTTTGATGGCAAAGACGTTCTCAGTGACAACACATGGTGAGCTAAATGACCTGTAAATATGATCATATTCACAAACACAAGAGTTGAAAAGTCACCAAAACTTCCTCTATTCGCGCCACCTTTTCTGTTTCACCCCAGGCCGGAGAAGATGATGTGGCACGGGTCAACCAGCGCCGGGCGGGGGCACGTCGACAGCTTCTGTGAGACGTGGCGTGTAGGTGACCAGGCGCTGACTGGCATGGCGTCGTCGCTACAGAGCGGCAGTCTGCTTCAGCAGAGCTCCAGCAGCTGCTCCAGCTCCTACATCGTACTGTGCATCGAGAACAGCTACGTCAGCCACGCCAAAAGATAGACACACACATACACACAACACTGGACAAAGCGAAACCCCAAAGCAGTCAGTCATGCTTTTGTCCTCACACACTTCTCTGTCTATTGTAAATATGTTTTTTCTTATGAATCATTAGTTTATGTGTGTTAGCCCCTCCTATATGGTGCTATACAGGATTATCCCACATGATGAACCTAAGGTAAGCTCAGGTGACGTTCAGTAACACACCCTCCAGGAGCCATATTGGAAGTCCACACCTTTAAAGGTAACAGTGTGTTTCCAAAAGGGCAGCTTTGTTGTCTGTAAACATGAAAGCGTAGTTTCTTGTCTCTTGTCTCACAACAGCAAACTCTCTTATTCTTCTTCATGGGTCCAGACTGGTGCTATGCTATTGTTCCGATAGCCCATTATTCCTGAAACCAAATCTAGCAGCTATCAACGATGGTAAGCGTAAGCGTCTTCCATAGATCCGTCAGTCCATGATCAGCCTTCTTCACCCCTTGGTCTGGAAGTAGAAGCTGGTAGCAGTGGCTACCAAAAACATTAAAAGGTGTTTCCTGTTACTTAAGCTGCTGTTGCCTGTCATTTAGATAACCAGTTCTGGGAACAACTGCTTCTCCTCACCTACCAAAATTTGAGCTGTGCCAGGTCGTCTGGCTGAAGGTCAGCTACACTAGAAGAGATTATGCCAGGTCATTTACACTAAACTATATGTGTTACAATATTTCGGGAGATCCAGTGCAGCCAGTGGATATTTCGGCTAATCTCTATAAACAGATATGTGCATATGTATGCAGATAAATGAAAGTCAGACTGTGCATTTGCAGCTATGTGTGAATGTTGGGGTTATTAATAACTGGTAATCGCATGTAAGGCTAGTTAGCTTGCAAATTATTTTTTACCTGGGGTCTTCTGTTGCCGGTTATCGATAGGATGTGTCTGAAAGTCAGAGAGTCAGTCGTGGAGGTAGACAACATTTCATCCTCCACATATCCAGCCAGCATTAGTTCTTTGTCGCTTGTAGCCTGCAGCTCTCCATGATTAAAATCTAGCTTTGGTTGCTCATCTTTGGTGGGGTGTATTTCCTGGAGCTTAACGCTGTTACGCTGTCATTGAAGGTGTTTCGGGAGGTTTGACGTCGTGTTTTTCTCACTGAAAGAATCTTAGTATGGCTACCTGGAACAACAATGTCCTTGTCATCTTTCTTCCTGACGAAATCTTGCTTGGTGCTTTGTGACGTGTATGTGTGCAGGTTATGAAAATGAATGCGGGAATGTGATTAATTGTTGGATTTCAAATCAGTCGTGGGGTGGTAACAAAAGTAAGGTTGTTACGAGTTATTTGCTTTTGGAGTAACTGAAACTGGCGTAGGCATGATCCAGCCAACTCTGCCTCTGATTGGCTTACCCGAACCCAAACCAGTCTCAGTCGTTGTGCTTAAACCTAACCAACCCAACAACCAACAAACGCGAAGAGAACTAGCCAATCAGAGGCAGAGTAGGTCACCATAGGAAGGTCAGATGATGCGAATACTGCATAATAATTAGCCTTGTGCTTCTGTTTCGGAGGAGTGGGTGTTTGTTTTTGGAAAAATGGGACTTTTTTTGGACTAGCCTATTGGGCTGTCTGAATAATGGGCTATCGGAACAATGGGAACCCTCCAGCCTAGAGAAACTAAAATTATCTCAGCAAGGGATATACCACTGTGATCATACGTAGGAATTATGTCTGAATTTCCACAAAGAACTGTGTAAGTGACGAACTCTTAAAACAAGGTAGATTTAATGTTTCCATGTCTTCCTGTCTGCGTTTAACCAAAACTGTCGTGCTAATACTAACTGACCAAAGCTACAACTCTAGTGCCTGAAAGCAGTGTTAATAGTGACTTCAAACTGTGGCTTCATTGACTTTTTATATGCAGTATTTGAGTGGCAAATACTCAGTTGAGTATTGGTGCGGTCATCAACACATTTCAGCGTCCAAGAGCAACATAAACATGAAACGTACATGAAATGTATGTTTTTTAACTTCTTTTCCTTTACACTGATGTTATCTGTAACCCATAGCACTTGAGTAATAGCCTTTTTTATTTTGCGACTGTCTTGCAAGGGAAGATGTTTTCAGATCGTATTTTTAGCAGTAACAAAAGGGATATTTATTTTTTATAAACCGTGCATTTTCTAGTATAATGTGTGACGAGAATAATAACGTTTCCAAATGTATCCATGTGCGAACCAAAGAAACTGTAAAAGACTGCAAACCCTACACGAGGATGTGTAATGCTTATTGAAAACTGATAAAGGGCAAGTTTCCCAGTGATAGAAAGTTTGTACACATAGTAAGCAAACACGTTTATGTACAGATAATCTGGATAGGATTCAGCCATATATGTTTGTCTATGCACTGTTGCTTTTGTTTATGCTTTTTATTCCAGAACAGTAAATGCACTGCAGCTAGCTTACAGTGGAGAGGATACGAACACTGGGGTGAAACATCATCATTCATTAGTTTCAGTCTGAAGTGGAGAATAAAGTGACGTTTTCATGTACTAACAGTGCCGTAATAAATGCAATAAGATTTGTATTATCTGTTTTTCTCCTTGTGTGAGCAACATTTTGAAATGCTGCATCTCACTGAATAAACCTGTGTGGAAAATGCGAGTTCTCAGGTGATGTTGTGGTGACTGTCTTTAGCAATTTTGTTTGTGTCCAAGTTTTGTTCTAATTTTGTTAGTACCCATTTGGGTCAAGATATAGATAATGTGATAGTCTCTCCAATGGGAAGATGGACAAAAGTTTTACATACCACATGGTAACATCAGGGGGCTCTTCATCCAACCATCTGTCTTTGGACTGACAGCCAGACTCATTGACAATTTCAGGTGAACATGATAAACACTCTGAGAGAATTTCTTCAAATTTGGCACAAACGTCCACTTAGATCCAAAGATATACTAATCAGAATTTGGTGGCCAAAGGTCACTGTGACCTCACAACACTCAAAACACTCGTGAAAGCCATATCTCAAGAACACCTTGAGGGAATTTCTTCAAATTTGGCACAAACATAAACTCAGATCCAAAGATATACTAATCAGAATTTGGCAGTCAAAGGTAACTGTGACCTCACAACACTCAAAACACTCGTGAAAGCCATATCTCAAGAACACCTTGAGGGAATTTCTTCAAATTTGGCACAAACATAAACTCAGATCCAAAGATATACTAATCAGAATTTGGCAGTCAAAGGTAACTGTGACCTCACAACACTCAAAACACTCGTGAAAGCCATATCTCAAGAACACCTTGAGGGAATTTCTTCAAATTTGGCACAAACGTCCACTTAAATCCAAAGATAGACTAATCAGAATTTGGCGGCCAAAGGTCACTGTGACCTCACAACACTCAAAATGAATACGCTAATTGTGACGCAATTTCACACAGATGTCTAATAGGATAAGTAACATTTTATATCCAAAAGGTCAAAGGTCATCTTCACTTTGACATCATAATGTTCTGCTTAACACTTCTAAAGACAATTTCAGGGCACGACGACAAGATGATTTTAAGTGCCACAACTATTTTTACGTTTCCGACATAATGATGAACACAAAGGATGATATTTACATTGAAAAGTGGGGGTTACATGCTGTGTGTGAATGATCTTACATTGGGTCTCATAGGATTTGTTAGAACATCTTTGCATTCAACAAAATATTTCTCCACATCTCATCGTCCAGGTGGGACCCAAAATATTCACTCCAGTGTGTTTTACTGTTGATAGTAGGGATTTCAACAAACATTCGATCATAAGTATAACTAAGATTTTTGTTTTTTTAAAGCCTTTAGTGCTGAAAGCTTCTTCTTTTAGAGTAATTCTCATGATTGGACTATTAAAATTCAGGGCAAAAGAAATACTGCTATTGGTCCACTGATCTCTGTTACTGTGCGTCCCTCTGCTGACCAGTGCTTGAATGTAATTAAATACAGTTACTACTGTTGTTGAGTACAAATTTGAGGTACTTTCAGCTTGCATGAGTATTTTAATCTCATGCCAATTTCTACTGTACTTTTTACTTCAACACAATTACTTGATGACTTTAGTAACTAGTTGTATTACAAATTAAGATTTTTGCGCACAAACCATATGAACAAACGAATTAAGGTCTCAGAGCCTGGAAAAAGTTGTCTGAGAGCTCAAATGTCTTGGAGTGCCCAAACTTTTGCATGGTGCTCCTTTCATATTTTTCACTCTAAAATTGTACAAAACAAAAATAATACACTAATCTTCTTTAAAGTGTTAAAAAAGCATATTTCATTTTTAACTTCAAGCCTTTTGGAGATCAGTTCATTTTCGACAGGTGTGCCCAAACTTACACCGATAAGCCACAAGATTAAAACCAGTGGTGGGTGAGGCGAGTAACATTTATCATTTTGTTCCAGTGCTTTGTTCTTCTAGGAGACCTTCGGTCATGGCATTCATGTGGATGCCACCCAAACACCGCTGTGGGCTAAGTAACTCCCCCTTCCTCATGGCAACGGTGCTCCCTGATGACAGTGGCCCCCCCAGCAGAAAAATGCACCATGCCACACCACAAAAACTGCTCAGAAATGGCCTGAGGAACATGACAAAAAGCTCAAGGTGTCGACCTGGCCTTTAAATCTCCCACACATTATTTTCATTGTTTATGTTTCAAGTCTTTTTTTGAGTGGGCACTACCAACATGTCATATAACCTGTGTCACATGATCTCTTGATGAGATCATGTGACACTGTGCATTTTACACACCTGTCCCTGAATGCAGTTTATACCCTGATGAGGACTGTTTCGTCAAAACATGTTGGTCTATCCATAACTTAATAAAGGATTCTGACCACAATCAGAGAGCTCCGGGTGCATTATTGAACTGCTGGCCGTACCGTGGACTTTCACACTGAGTAAGTTGGACAGTTCCTGTGGCAGCAGCAGAGCAGAGAGACTTGTGCTGCAGGTATGAATGGATGAACGAATGTAGAGCTGAGTAATTATAAAATACATATACACAGGGGGAGACTGGAGACAGTTGCATCAAGTCTTATCACTCCAATTATGACTCACACTGCACATGCTCAGTATTTTAGCCAGCTGGCTAATTTTCAACTGCAGTCCTGTGGCAAAAGGTTTGTGACCAACAACGCGTGCAAGTAAAGCCTCCACAAAAATAGCATTTTAAGTCTTGTGTGTAATTTATACTTAAGGATTTATCCTGGTTTCATTTGAGAAGAGGAAAAGATTGCTAGCTGCTGGGCTAATTTATACAATGTAAAATGCCATAGGTTTGCGCTAACAATATTAACATGTTGTATTTCTTTGGAAAAACGTGTATAGTATGACAGTTGTTTTTTCAGTGAACCTTGTGAGTAGTAACGGAGCCAAATTATGTACTATTACCTTTGTTAAATGTTGCTGTTGTCCCTGGCTTTATATGAGAAGAGGAAAAAATCACTAGCTGCTAGGCTAATTTATACAATGTAAAATGCCATAGGCTTGTGCTAATAATGTTAGCATGTTATATTTGTTTGGAAAACGTGTTTAGTATAAGACAGTTGTTTTGTCAGTGAACCTTGTGAGTTGTAATGGAGCCAAATTATGTACCGTTACCTTTGTTACATTTTGCTGTTGTCCTGGTTTTATATGAGAAAAGGGAAAGCTTGCTAGCTACTAGGCTAATTTATACTATATAAAATGCCATTGGCTTGTGCTGATGACGTTAGCATAATATATTTGTTTGGAAAACTTGTTTATGAAAGTTGTTTTGTCAGTGAACCTTGTGAGTTGTTATAGAGCCAAATTACCATTACATTTGTTAAATGTTGCTGTTGTCCCTGGTTTCATATATGAGGAAAAAAATTGCTACAATTTATACAATGTAAAATGCCTTAGGCTTGTGCTAATAATGTTAGCATGTTGTATTTGTTTGGAAAACGTGTTTAGTATAAGACAGTTGTTTTGTCAGTGAACCTTGTGAGTTGTAATGGAGCCAGATTATGTACTGTTACATTTGTTAAATGTTGCTGTTGTCCCTGGTTTCATATGAGAAGAGGAAAATATCACTAGCTGCTAGGCTAATTTATACAATGTAAAATGCCATAGGCTTGTGCTAATAATGTTAGCATGTTGTATTTGTGTGGAAAATGTGTCCAGATAAAGACAAGTGTTTGTCTGTGAATGCTGCGAGTTATAGTGAAGCTGATTTGTGTACTTGTGTTTGAAACTGTCTCTATTAAGCCATGTTTAATGTGTGTTTAATGTGTGTTTTGAATCAACTAAACTCTACAGCACTTCACAGCAATCTCCACCACCGACTAGCGTTTGGGAGGTGTAACTGCAGAGTGACACAGACACACCACAGCTCCTCCCAACTTGCTCTTACAGTCTGTTTTTGCCCTGGGCGTTGCCTTCAGGCAGACTTTCTTTAACACGAAGTACAAATCCCACCTTTTATACATGAATTGACATGACTTACAAGTTATCTTTGAAAGCGGAAATGTGTGAATTAGGGTAGTATGACGCTTGTGCCTCTATGACAGGGCTGGACGCACCTTTGGGAGCTGCATGCAGGCAAAGCACAGGACAATTAAATTCGCTATGTGGCAATTATTTGTGCTTACCGGTAAATCAAAACACCTGGGTGTGTCATTGGGACATGTAGTTGTTCAAGTTGTGGTTGATTAAAACGTGTTTCTTGTCTAGTCTATGTCCATTTTCTGTCTCTCTCTTTAAGGGGTGATGTCCTCGATAACGTTGGAGGTTACTTAGTTTCACTTTCTTGTGACGCCGTATTTTTACCAAACAAGGTGAGTTATACTTATTCTATTCTTCTTCTGTGGTGTATTAAAGCCTGTTTTTCCATTCAAGGTGTCTAAAAAGGGAGGGCTACTCTACTTACTGTTTTTCTTAGAAGCTAAATTGTAGCAGTATTATAGTATAAAAATACTCCATCACAAGTTAAAGTCCTGCATTGAAAGTGCTTTAAAAGTACAGAGACAAATGTACTTAAAGTATCTGATGAAGCAGCAGAATGACCTTTGTCACTTAATAATTACATAAGTGCTTTCATGTTATAATTAGTGATGTGAAGACTATTTTACACACAGCTGGATTGTATGATATATAAAAATGAATGAACATTTAAAAGGATGATTGTTTCGCATGCAGCTGTCAAATAAATGTAGTGGATTAAGTATTAAAATCTACAGGAGTAATAACTGTGAATGTGGTATGGTTAGTATGATGCAGTCATATTTGTTCTCTGGATTAATTATTAATGATTTATTATTTTATTTTGTAGACTTTGACTCGTAGGAGTTCTAAGTTTTGATGGACAAATCTGAACATATAAATCATAATGTATAATACAGTATGTTAAACCACATATGAATATAATATAATTTAAGTTAACTGTGCGTCATCATTCGTTCCATTTTCAGGCTGACTGACAAAAGCAGTCCGTTTCTGTTTGTGTCAAGCTGTAGGCTCTAGTATGGACGTGTCTGACGGGCCAGATGAGGGAACCCTCCCCTCCAAAATGACTCCACTTGGGGAACATGACAGCTGGACCGAAGCTCAGAGGTGAGATGACCATCAGATCAGAGCTCAGCAGCTGTATCATTTCACATACG